CCTCCTTCTCCTCCTCCTCCTTCTCCTTCTTTTTTTTCTCCTCCTCCTCCTTGTTGTCCTCCTCCTCGTCCTCCTCCTCCTCGTCCTCCTTCACCCATGTTTTCTCCCATCCTCTTGTCTCTAAGTTGCTTTTGTTCTTGAGAAAGTTTTGGTTTTCCAGATGTTTCGATAATTTCTTCAGCAGTTTTGAAACTTTCTTCCAGTTTCTCATCATGTATTTTATCTATAAATATCTCTTTCAGCTCATCTGTTACTGCTTCTTTCAGAACATCTTCCATCACGTTTTCTCTTTCTTTTAAAATCAGCTGATAATAAACCATCTCTCTGTCACGGGAGCAGCTGAGCCAGTCACATGATGAGAGCAGAGCCACCAAAACCAGAATAACCAGGAGAATCCCGAAGCCAATGAACTGAAAGAGAAACAGATTAACATTTAATGCAGACACAAATTTAATTTTAAAAAATGTTTTTTATAACCACAGTTGTTAATAATAAAAACACTCACCCTGGATTCATTTTTCAGTTCTTTTCTTGTCTTCTTCTCGGCTGTCAGACCAGTTTGGTTTCCGCAGCCTAACCCACCAATACAGAAAACATACCAGTCTTCACTGATGAGCAGGGAGACCATCCACAGGAGACCGATGAGAATAGCCTTGAAACAAGAGCTGAGAAGAACTCTCCAAAACACACAGCATCTTGTAACTGTTTTTTTTGAGCATTTCCGTGAGCACGTATACGACCAGGCTCTCTGAAATGTCTTGTCGGTCCAGAGCATTAAGAAGAAAATGATGAGCCAAGGCAGAGTCACGTAACAAACACAGTCACGGCCTTTGTGTTTACAGTTGTAGTTCATGTCATTGTCAAATAAAATGTTGTAGGTGAAACTCCCAACGATGGTGACGAAGACACCGAATTTCTTTAAAGGAAAAAACTTCAAGAAGTCCTTCATCTTCAGCTGTCCATGTGAGTCTGCAAAGACCTGAAGAGTGAAACTGAACTTGTTCCAAAACGACAGCAGAGACTTCCTACTTTGAGTAAAAGAAGCTGATGAATGATAAATCAGAGTTGGAACTGCAAACATGGTCTCCTTACCTTTTGTTGTTAATCAGCTGATCATTCAACAAAATACCAAGGTGCAGGAGTAACTGTTGCATTTGGACGTCTTTAACTTCTAAAACTGAAATCATGTTTTAACCCATAAAATAAAAGGTGGCTGGGCTCTCCCTTAGAGATAGGCTGAGAAGCTCAGTCATCCAGGAGGGACTCAG